AATATGCTTAGTGGTTGACCTTCTTGACCAGGTGCAAAAGAGTACATTTTCTCTCTCTCTCTGTGTCTTCCAAGAAATCTCTGCCTGTTAACATTGTATCTCTTATACCAGGTTTCATTTCTGTGTCATCAATTTCATCCCAATCTTCAGTATCATTTGACTGTGAGTATTTACTTCTATCTGGATTAGCCTGTGTCATCTCCTTCTTTTGCAGCAAGCTCTTGCATATGCTATTAGCAGGTAATGATAAGTCGCATACATTTTGCACTACATCATAGTGATCAGAATTAGTGTTTTGTAGGTAAATGGCTGTTTCATGTGAATGATTGTTCTGATCGAGAAACTTGGCTGAATACTTCAACCATTTCCAAGAGCTGCCAGGCTTGCAGTATACATAGATGTCAGTTTGTAGTAAATGTGCTGCAATAAGTATTTCTGTTTCAGTACCCCAAACATTAGCATTATTCATGCCTGTTCTTCTTACATAATTTGCTGATGTGATGTCATTGTCACCTAACATACTACTTGCAAAAGCATACTCAAACTGCTTCATATGACTGATGATTCTGTTCCTAAGTATACTGTGATCATGATCATACAACGTGTCACAACCAGTAATGGCAAAAGACAAACTTCGAAAAAAACAATTTCCATCTCCAATAACTTTTTTTAACTGGCTGGGTTTTGTCAAGAGAATATTATGATTAGTTTCAGGCCAATTGTGAGGACGCTTTAATTGTAAGTTTAGTTTGTCAGTCATTTTCTCTTGCCACAGGGCATCTACAGGCATAAAATAAAATAAAGTATCGTCAGATTCACAAAACTGAGGTAATGAATGTCGTCGCTGTATGTATGATAACTCTTTTTGTAAGTGTGACACATATCTTACTCTGTGACGAATTTTTTTTACAGTTCTGAAGTATTTTGAGTACCATGTTTTACCTTGTTTTTTTCTTTTGAACAAGCCATAATAACTCAGTTTCAAATGCTTGTATTTTCTCAGTACATGGTGGTGCTTATATGCAAAGAGTTTTTCAATTCCTACCTTACTAGAATCTCTGATTCTATTTGTCTTTATGCGATATCTTGATCTGCCTCTGCTTTGTGATTTGAATGCAGGTACTTCTAAAACAGGAGGGTGTTGTGAGGAAACAATTTTTTTTTCACTATGAATAGCAGCTACAAATTCATCAACATTAACAGATGGTTCATATCTATATGGCTTGTCTAAAATGACATAGAATTCATCTGCAAAATCACCACCCTGATCCATAAATTGTCCTTCATCAGAAAATTGGATATTTCCACAATCAGAAGGGCACTCAACACAAACAAATTCTTTTAATAACTTTTGTATTTGTTCCTCATTCAAGTTATTCATAGTTATATTTCCTTTTTCCGTTTGTTCAAATGTGCTAGAGCTGCTAGAATTATCTTCTAATGCCCATGTTGGGTCTACAGTTATTCCCTTTTCTTGGTACAATTTTCCATTAGCAGTTAACCAATTTGCTGCTTCAAGTACTTTGTTTGGCCTTACATTCTGAGCATATGCATAACTCTTAAATTTCACATTTCTTTTCAGTTGAACTTTAATTGTTGAACTGTCAGTGTCAGTTCTTGGTAACTTAGTTACAGTGGATGTTACATCTGCTGGTATATTTACAACATTCCCTTCTAATTTGTATTGTTTTCCACGTGGAGCTTGATGAAGCTTCATGAAAACTAACCTTGGACTAGTTAATCTCCACTCTAAAGGTTTTAAATCCAAGAAACTGGGTTTTTCTGGAAATGACATGCTATTCACAATAGCACATGGAGGTATTTTGTTCTTTTTCAAATGAGAAGCGCATGTTAGACACATCCAATTACTGTTGAATAAATCACCAGCTTCTTTGCATTGATTAACTGCATTATTCTCTATATTCAAAAGAGGCTCTCTATTTATGACAGAATGTCTGTACCAGAGTTGTTGACATATACAGCATGTGTAAGTACAACCTTCAGCAACTTTTTTGTGGAACTGTTGTATCAATTCTTGAAGAGTAGTATCGATTTTCTGTCTCTTATTACGCTTAGAAACTGCATCAGTCTTCCTTTCACATATTCTGAAATTGGGATCAGATCTTTTAAACCTTTTTTGGTATTTCTCAGTAACNATGTGTCATCAATTTCATCCCAATCTTCAGTATCATTTGACTGTGAGTATTTACTTCTATCTGGATTAGCCTGTGTCATCTCCTTCTTTTGCAGCAAGCTCTTGCATATGCTATTAGCAGGTAATGATAAGTCGCATACATTTTGCACTACATCATAGTGATCAGAATTAGTGTTTTGTAGGTAAATGGCTGTTTCATGTGAATGATTGTTCTGATCGAGAAACTTGGCTGAATACTTCAACCATTTCCAAGAGCTGCCAGGCTTGCAGTATACATAGATGTCAGTTTGTAGTAAATGTGCTGCAACAAGTATTTCTGTTTCAGTACCCCAAACATTAGCATTATTCATGCCTGTTCTTCTTACATAATTTGCTGATGTGATGTCATTGTCACCTAACATACTACTTGCAAAAGCATACTCAAACTGCTTCATATGACTGATGATTCTGTTCCTAAGTATACTGTGATCATGATCATACAACGTGTCACAACCAGTAATGGCAAAAGACAAACTTCGAAAAAAACAATTTCCATCTCCAATAACTTTTTTTAACTGGCTGGGTTTTGTCAAGAGAATATTACGATTAGTTTCAGGCCAATTGTGAGGACGCTTTAATTGTAAGTTTAGTTTGTCAGTCATTTTCTCTTGCCACAGGGCATCTACAGGCATAAAATAAAATAAAGTATCGTCAGTCCGTAGATGTTGTACCTCATTTTCAGATTCACAAAACTGAGGTAATGAATGTCGTCGCTGTATGTATGATAACTCTTTTTGTAAGCGTGACACATATCTTACTCTGTGACGAATTTTTTTTACAGTTCTGAAGTATTTTGAGTACCATGTTTTACCTTGTTTTTTTCTTTTGAACAAGCCATAATAACTCAGTTTCAAATGCTTGTATTTTCTCAGTACATGGTGGTGCTTATATGCAAAGAGTTTTTCAATTCCTACCTTACTAGAATCTCTGATTCTATTTGTCTTTATGCGATATCTTGATCTGCCTCTGCTTTGTGATTTGAATGCAGGTACTTCTAAAACAGGAGGGTGTTGTGAGGAAACAATTTTTTTTTCACTTTGAATAGCAGCTACAAATTCATCAACATTAACAGATGGTTCATATCTATATGGCTTGTCTAAAATGACATAGAATTCATCTGCAAAATCACCACCCTGATCCATAAATTGTCCTTCATCAGAAAATTGGATATTTCCACAATCAGAAGGGCACTCAACACAAACAAATTCTTTTAATAACTTTTGTATTTGTTCCTCATTCAAGTTATTCATAGTTATATTTCCTTTTTCCGTTTGTTCAAATGTGCTAAAGCTGCTAGAATTATCTTCTAATGCCCATGTTGGGTCTACAGTTATTCCCTTTTCTTGGTACAATTTTCCATTAGCAGTTAACCAATTTGCTGCTTCAAGTACTTTGTTTGGCCTTACATTCTGAGCATATGCATAACTCTTAAATTTCACATTTCTTTTCAGTTGAACTTTAATTGTTGAACTGTCAGTGTCAGTTCTTGGTAACTTAGTTACAGTGGATGTTACATCTGCTGGTATATTTACAACATTCCCTCCTAATTTGTATTGTTTTCCACGTGGAGCTTGATGAAGCTTCATGAAAACTAACCTTGGACTAGTTAATCTCCACTCTCAAGGTTTTAAATCCAAGAAACTGGGTTTTTCTGGAAATGACATGCTATTCACAATAGCACATGGAGGTATTTTGTTCTTTTTCAAATGAGAAGCGCATGTTAGACACATCCAATTACTGTTGAATAAATCACCAGCTTCTTTGCATAGATTAACTGCATTATTCTCTATATTCAAAAGAGGCTCTCTATTTATGACAGAATGTCTGTACCAGAGTTGTTGACATATACAGCATGTGTAAGTACAACCTTCAGCAACTTTTTTGTGGAACTGTTGTATCAATTCTTGAAGAGTAGTATCGATTTTCTGTCTCTTATTACGCTTAGAAACTGCATCAGTCTTCCTTTCACATATTCTGAAATTGGGATCAGATCTTTTAAACCTTTTTTGGTATTTCTCAGTAACTTTGTAATCAGGATTAGATCTCTTCAACTGTTTATGCTTTACAATATTGGCCTTTACATCAGACTGAGAACGCTTCAGTCTCTGGGCTTCTTGTTCAGTTTTCCTGTACTGAGGATCAGATCTTTTTAACTGCTTGTGCTTTAAAATATTTGACTTCACATCGGACTGAGAACACTTTTGTCTCTGATATTCTTGTTCGGTTTTCCTGTATTTTGGATCAGATCTAAGAAGTCGCATTCTGATTTTATTCTTCTCTCTTTTCAAAATATTTCTGTCAGTACCACTGGTTTCCATAAGTGAACTATCCAAGATAGTTTTACTCACTGTGTCAATTTTGCTTTGTTGTTTGTCTTCTGTCCATTTTAACTGCTTCTTCATTTCATCATGAAGCATTTTCATGTGGGGTTTTTGCAAATTTGTCTTATCAAAAATGGAAGAGATGGAATCAGAGGTAATGGAATTACCAGTGTGTTTTGTCAATGGTACTTTTCTGTACTGAAACGAATTGGTATCTTTGTCCATTAAATCCGCTTTAGAATTTTTTCTAGATCTTGTAGCGAGTTTTCTGACATGAACATTCTTTTCTGAAGGTTTCAGAGATGTTTTTAAAGTAACTATATTGGGATCATTTTTTGGAATTTCAGAGGGAACTGATTGTTGTGATTTTTTCTTTAATTTGTGGGGTACTGCTGAGAGCTTTGGGTTGACTGGCATCTTTGACTTTATGAGTAAGGCTGACATATCTGATGGTGCAATAGGATCTGAATATTTCATAGACTTACTTGAAGGATCTGCAGCAATAGTGGCACTCAAACTGACAGGCATTTCAGGATAGGCTGTGTCAACTGTAGCATCTGTAACAGCTGTATCAACTGTAGCATCTGTACCAGCTGTATCAACTGTAGCATCTGTAACAGCTGTATCAACTGTAGCATCTTTATGAGCTGCATGAACAGTATCATCTGAATCAATTGTAATCTCAGTTGTTTCAGTAATCTCAGTTAGCTCAGTATTCTCAGTAAACTCTGTCAACTCAGTAAACTCTGTCAACTCAGTTCCCACCGAGGTGGGCGTGGCTACCGAAGTAGCCACAGACAACACAGTTCCCACCGAAGTGGGCGTGGCTACCGAAGTAGCCACAGACAACACAGTTCCCACCGCAGTGGGCGTGGCTACCGCAGTAGCCACAGTAAGAGGCCCGTTTGGCATAGCCAACTTCTGTCGGTTTTCCCTGTTCTTTTTCGTCTGTAGTGCCCTTCTCGTAGCTAAGCTCTGTTTTTTCAAACGAGGCATCTAGAAAGAATAAAAAATACTATATTTATTGCCAAGAATATAACAATCTGGTTAAAAGGGATAAAATATAATAGAAAATGTACAAGTGGTAAACAGTTTCTTTTGAGTGCAACTGTATAATAAGAGTCCTTACACAAACTACCATGACCAAGAAGAAGTGAACTGAGAAAAACATTAATTATTTGTGTTGATTCTGTAATTAAAGGTACATGTAAAATGAGTATCAGTGGAAAGTCTATTCCTATTAGCCCATGTAAACCACTTCTACTAGTTACTTGTATTTAGTGAAGGTAAGTCAACATGGCAAAAGACCGACCAAATTAATCACCTATGAACCATAAAAAAGACTTAAAATGTTAAAATGTCCTTTTTTATTTGTTGGTGGTAAATTTGGCCTACTTATCTGATTTACATATTAGTCCTGTTTATATGTGGCTTAGAAACAGGCAAAAGACACCATTCACACATTATTTATGGGTAATATAAAATGTCTTTTGGTATTGTTTAAGTATCTGAAACTATATGATTGCATTCAGTTGGTTTTCGGTGAAACATTTAAAGGATAAAAACTATTTGTTTTGGCCAAAAAATAGATTCTCCTAGACTTGAGCAACAACAATTCTCCCATATCTACCCTGACGTATCGAATAAAAGTACTGATGGAATAAAAGTACTGGGTGTTCAGTTCATGTTGAAAAGTATGTCAAAGGTCAATTTCAAGGTCACAATAAGAATGCCAAAATATGACTTCCTATTCAAGTTTAACAGTAACTATGGATGTATCTCTGCCAGTTTTGGAGATATAAGGGCTGGAAAATTTGCAAAGTTCAGTTCATGATGAAAAGTAGGTCAAAGGTCAATTTAAAGGTCACAGTTAGGTTACCAGTATATAACTTCCTATTAAAGTTCAATAGTAACTATGGGTGTATCTCTGCCAGTTTTGGAGATATAAGGGCCAGAAAATTTGCAAAATTCAGTTCATGGTGAAAAGTAGGTCAAAGGTCAATTTAAAGGTCACAATTAGATAACTTGTATTTAAACCACAGCTAGCGCATAAGACAAAAGACACGGCCGTGCTGTATTCGACATACAAGCACGTCATGTACGATTGCGTTCCACGGTCTGTTGCACTACTAGTGTTGTGGCCAATCAGAGGCCGTGGTTTAAGCTAGATACAACACTCGTCGCCGAGCTATACGTTAAAATTACTCGTGTATTGTCTCGCCTGCGGCTCGCCAATACACTCGTAATATTTCACATACAGCTCGGTGACTCGTATTGTATCTATCACATAACTTCCAATCCAAGTTCAATAGTAACTATGGGCGTATCTTTGCCAGTTTTGGAGATATAAAGATCAGAAAACTTCAAAGTACAGTTCATCATGAAAAGTAGGTCAAAAGTCAATTTCAAGGTCACAGTTAGATTACCAGTATATGACTTCCTATTCAAGTTCAAAAGTAACTATGGGCATATTTCTGCTATTTTTGGAATATTTAACATTTTCCCCACTGAATATTGCAATGTTGTAATTTTTGATATAGCACAATACCTAAACCACATTTAAAACAAAAAAAAAAAGACACCACCTCCAGTATTGCACTTGGTAAGTTCTACAAAATGCTATGAACAAAAGGTTTCTCGCATTCACCTTTCCAGAAAAAAAGCAAGTTTTCACTTTCAGTATCTAATGGCTGCTTCTCCCGTGAAAATGCACCGAATGACCCCAAACTCCCAGAGATGAAAGGAGTCCCCAATTGTAACCCCTCACTATAACAGGAGAGCTTAGATCTGTGTAGTTTCCAAAAAATAGCACAAACAGATATTTTTTTGCAGAAAATTCCCATTTTTAGAAAATTTTGGTTTGTTTGACCTTGAAAAAAAGATCAAAAGTCAAATCCTAAGACATATTTGGAATCTCCACATGACTTTCGTTCAGACTTCTGTAGTAATTTTTCCCATAATTCCTTTGGTTTGGGAGATATTTAGCCTTGAATTTTCAAATATTTTGACAAGGGTGCTTTTCAACAAGTATCATGCCCAGGCCAATGCACCTACAGAGACACAAAAACCAGGGTGTTCAAGTTGAGATTATATCTGACCTAAATCCAAGAGATGGGGACACAGGTCCTGGCGGTCTAGGAGGAGAAGCGGTAACGGTGACTTGTTTCTGGCGCCCGACTGCGGAGCCGCAGGAGCCGAGGAGCCGGCGGAGCTGTACGAGACGGGTCGGGACTAAAACCATGAGTACTGCCAGCGTATACGCTGGTGGTACTAATAAAAGTACTTAATGGAATAAAAGTACTGCCCGGAAAAAACCTTCACCAACCCCCCTCCCTGAAAAAAAAAAATGAAATAAATAAAAATAAAGAAGAAGAAGAGAAAGAAAAAAGCTAGCTATTAAAACTTTCACCAGGTAAAATTCACTCAGTATTATAATTGTACCACCAGCGTTAGCGCTGGCGGTACACATGGTTTTAGTCCCGTCCGGTCCGTTCCGCCGGCTCCGCCGGCTCCTGCGGCCCCGCCGGCTCCGCCGGCTCCGCCGCCATGTTACCGTTACCGCTTCTCCTCCTAGACGGTAAGGGCCCCCATACCCATCTCTTGGATTTAGGTCACCTATAATCTCAACTCGTTCCACGTAAAATTTGGGCTTTGTCGGTATTGGGGTCTGGGTGTGGCACTCATTGCAATGCACCCTTGTC